CAACGATGCCGTAATTTACATACTACGGTAAGATAGAACTATATGCACTCTGATATTAAGCTATAGGGGGTATTAGGACCTATTATATTCTTAGAGGTATAATGCTATATACTCCTAAATAGGAATAGTATACTAACTGCCTCTATATTGCGTCATTGGTGGATAGTCAATGTATAGTATCATAACTATAAGGATAGAGAAGTATCAGAAGAAGATAAGGCCTAAGTGCAGAAAGACTAGTTTCATAGTAAGAAGCAAGTGAGAGTACGGTAAGGCTTTAGTGAAGCTATCACAGGCTTATTTTACAGTATGAAGTAAGCAAAAGTAAAGTGAAGGAAAGCCGACTTTATAGAAAGAAATGAGACTAAGGTCAACGGTATATAGGAAGATAGTCCATAGAAGAGTATCAATGTATTGCTGTTTGCTTCCCACTGATTGGTTGGTTGCTGTTCATTGGCTGATTTGCTGGGTACATGGATAGCCTGATCCTCGTTCAGAGAGGTCCTCTGCCCTTGGAGCTCCCTAGATGGGAGAGCAACATTAGATTCACTGTCTGCATCTGCCCCATGGACTTCTCAATTGCGCCTATGTTTCGGCCGTTCGCTGTTATGGCGTCTGCGAATGTGATATTGCCCTGTAGCTCTTGATCGTTGCTGGCGCCGCTGGCATTGACAGCTTCAGCCACGGCTTTATCGGTGTTAACTAACGTCTGCTAAATGAGCTTACCGTTGGGCACGTCGGCCATGGCCTTCCAGATGACTGGCCGCGACTGCGGCTCTCGGTCAATGAGCCAATCAATGCCGGCCTGGCATTGGCGAGCCAGCTCCGGGGACTGTTCGTCTTCATTTTCGATCACATCTGGGCGGGTGGCAGAAGATCGAGATAAAGGGGGTTGCTGGAGCCCAGGGGAGGGAGAGGACAAGAACATGATCTCTTCATAACATTGTTGCTCAGCCACTGGCAAAGACTCACATACCTTGGTCATTCTCATTCATTTTATCTTGCCTTTCCGCCGTTCTGCTTCTTCGACCTTCAGGTCCTCGTCCACCTTCGTCACCAATCCTCACCCTCCGCTTTCATCCTCACATTGCTCAACCATTTCCCCCTCACATACCTGGAAGACAAGCATGCCTTAAGGAGATTATTAAGATATCCCACCCGGCTCTCACTTCTTTATCTAGGGCAAATACTAACAATCCTAACAGCTACGACCCCAGCCCTGGCTATCAGCGATTTGCTCTGCCAGCCTCTCTACCTACAACTGTCCTCGGAACCGATGAAAGCCCTCCCGGTCCATGGGCCGAGCAAAGCCCCATGGACTAGGGCTAGAGAAGGCCGCTGGCTCAAGACCGAAATTCTGCGCGTGTTGCATAGTAAAACACCGCTCCGTGAACCGCTGCTCCGGCAGACACATGTGTGATCCTCGCACTGGACCGCCCTCCGAGTGCACGAAATGATCGGTAGCGAGGCGGCAAATGTCGAGTCGGCAATGATACAGGTCGTGAGTCGCGTGCAGGAGACCGAATGTCGGTCTTGCCTGCAAGACCATGGACCCTGGGCCCAATGCGTCGCTCTTGACGGACTTGTGGGCTGTGCAAACTGCCACTGGAATGGTAGCGACGGCCGCTGCACTTCGTTTGGTGGTGGATCAACTGGAAGGACGCCCGAGGGATACCGTTGTTGAGGTCAGCACATCCGAATCTACCGGGCAATTTTCTGTCGATGCACACGGGTGGCTGGAAGCACCTCACTCGCCAGTACAAGCCGCTATCACAGTTCCTTTCAAATACCGCAATGTAAAGGATGACTCCAACCCCCTCACAATCTCCATCTGGGAGTGGTGGATCGCATCACTAGTATCGACACTCGCCTCTCCTATATCCCTGCTGCGCGTACAGCCTCTCTAGATGTATGGAACGTCGTTGGAAGTCTGGCAGTTTCAGGGTTTCATATTGTCAAAGATGAATATACGCAGATACTGTGACTACTACTCCTCTCTGGGTTTGGCGCTTTGAGCAAAAGGAGCAGAGCCTCCAGCAGCTCCATAGAGGGGTCCGTTACATGGAACCTGGGTACATATCAAAGCGGTTCACTGACATTGATATCCACCGATGGATTTCTGGGCTGGTGACACCGATCCTTCCCTCATCCAATTCTTCACACCTGACACCGACACCGACACCAACACCAACTTCAAAATAGCCAACACTGCACTCGACCCCGGGAACCCCGTGGACGAGCCGTTCATATGGGTTTGGGCGATGAAGCACAATCAAGACTTTATCCCCCAAGAGATGCACCATCACCTCTACAACGCGTTTTCGAAGTACCTCCGCAAATCCCCAGGGGGCAGCAACACCGCCATTTTCTGGGATCCGGTCTTGTAAGTCTAAATTCCCAAGAATAGATAGAAAGAATCTCAGAAACTAACTTTTGATAAACATAGGATGGAAGAAGACGATAGTCTCTTCAACAGCAACGACCAGCACGGCTTCACCATTCGAAGGGGAGCCACGAGTGCCGACGGAAAGACCGCGTATCAACTCGTCGTCATGAAAAGCGAAAACTGCTACCATGGCGTTATCCCATCATTTGGCGAGCTCATAGTGCTTGTTCGCTGGATGCTGAGTGGAATCAAAAACCACAAGCACCAATTCGGCAGGTACCACCGAAATGAGCGCCCCCAACTTGACTTCCCGGTAAGTCCAGGCAGATTATTGCCATATACAGAACATTATTGACTGACTTCTATATAGACAATGGCTGTCTCCTTCCTCCCCGACGCTCGAGTTCGAGTATTGTATGGGTATTTCGACGAAGGCCGACTCAAAGTCGCCTATACCCAATCACTCAACTTCGACGCGGAGGACTACGCCAACAAAATGGATGGACTTCTCCAGTGGGCATGCCCCTTAACTGATGGGGACACCACCAAACCCTTCCAACAATCGAGGACGATGAGGAAGACCAGTGGGATGAGTGGGAGAAGTGGGAGCTACGATATAGGGAGGACAGCGAAGACGAGGGTCTGGGAACTGAATCAGACGGAGAGGGTGACAGCGTTGAGGCACAAAAAGACCTCAGTGGCTGTAAGTCGGGATTCGACGAGGATGATGAGAGCTGTTGGGAAGACGAGGATCCCATTGAGGATTGGAGGGACGAGGAGTTCGTGATGTCTGCGGACATCAAAAGGAAAGTCATAGAGAGGCCCGGAGGAGAAGATGAGGTGTTTGGGGGAGGTGTGAGAGTTGACCTGAGCCTAAAGGCGAGGGGGCTGGGACTCGGAGGCGCCCTGGAACCCGGTCTATCCTTGTCCACGGCAAAGGCAACTATGTTTTCATGTAGTGGCAACCCGCCATACAGTTCTGTATTATTTCATATAGCACCCACGGATGCATGTATCATACACAAATGCACAGGGATGAGAGAGACAATCCGTCGGTCCATGTTTCCGTAGTCTGACTTGCAGATACTGTAGACATCCGTAGGCATCCGCGAAATAGAACCACCCAAGTGAGAAGGTAGAACTGAAAAACCAGGCTGAAGGAAATTAAAGTCAGGCCAAACAAAATTGTTGAGATAGCCTAGGACTTGAGTGAAGGAGATGTCGTTTCACATGAATTCAGCATAGTTAAGACCATTATATGCTCAGACACTATCACGCTAGTTTTGAACTTTGCTCAAGGCCTTAACAACCTCCTCTGTGGCAAATACATCCGCAAATTCACCATCGAGGCTAGTAACAGAAATCTTCTGAATGGTCTCCGCATCGATTCCAGCCTTTCCAAAGGTAGCCGTGGCATCTTCGACAAGCACAATACGCCCCTTATCAACTTCCACCTCATTCTCATGAGTCCCATCCGATCTCAACCGGATGGGCCCATCTCCAAGATACCGATCCACAACCCCCAGATTAGCCGCCATTCGCACAGTAGTTGAAACGCAATGATCAGTCGTCAACCCAGCAATGATGAGCTGACGGACACCCTTTTCACGCAGATGCGCTTCAAGTCCAGTTCCGATAAAAGAGGAATTGACACTTTTCCAAAAGACAGGCTCAGACCCATCTGAGGCAGGAGTGGCGAAGTCTAGAGGACGGATACCCTGTTCAGGGTTGGAAGGGTGGAACGGAGAACCCGAGGTTGTGGAGGAGTGAAAGATGTGGATCACCTCCAGCAGCGTTGAAGATAAGGATCTCGCAGATCGGAATGCGGAGAGAAGTGCTTGCAGGTTTGTTTCATAGCTCGGGTTGGACCGTGTGGTGCCCCAATGGGATATGGTCTTTGGGTCGGAGAAGCCTGATTGGTTGTCTATCAGGATCAAAGCCGTGGGAAGAGTAAATTCCAATGGAGCCATTTTTGTCGATTTGGGATTCCAATTGCCGGATTGATGTCAATTAATTAGGGTGTCTCCGAGATATTGGTGAAGTCGAGACACTGAAGGCTTTTTATGCGGCTGTAAGGTTATGGCTTTCCAAAATGTGACTCACCCCGCTCACTAATCCACCCTCAAGTTCTGGAGGGCAACTTTTGGAAACTTTGATAACTTCATAACTTTGGATACATTGATGCTAAAACTTCTGTAATAGTTTAGTAAAAGGACTAGTCTTCCAGCTTTCAGCTTCTTGGCCCTTCTTCTAGAGAAGAAACTTTTTGCTTCCCAATTTCATGCCCTTTCGCCAGTTGGCTTCATTTCAAACGGCACTCATTCACTAACTACCTCGGCTCATGACGAAAGCTGTACAATCTGCTTGTCAATCGATCAGACTCGGCTTAGGCAAATGTCGTCCCTGCTGTTATATCTCATCGCTATGCTCGAAAAAGACATGCCGTGTCTAACCATTCTGACGATTTTTCGCTATCACGACGAAGTTAACCTATTGATCTAAGGACACACTGATATTCCCATAAGTGACAAGTCGACCGCGCACATTTCTGGCATTTTTCACTGGGAAGTTCCCATCAGTCACAATCTCATTCTAACCTCGCAAGGCTTCCAACACTACTCCGTACTCCGCAGCTCGATCAACAAAGATTCGGGAATACTCACACATCCGTCCTTCATATTTCATCCTTGGATACATCTGCTGCTTGGTCAACTAATGCTTTGTAATCTGGCAGGCTTGCCATCAAGGTCTGCGGACAACTGCGGCACCAAGCATACATAGTTCGCGTATACCTTTGGTGTTATGACCGTAGGCCATTCTGTGTAATTCTAGCTAGCTATAACAGACATGCGACGTTGGAGATACCTAACTTTATTTTTTTTCCTCTCCCTCTTTCTCCTTCTTTCCACCCTATCCACCTTTGTGCGTAGTAAATTAAAAATTACTTCGCCTTATATTCTATCTCTAGTCGCTTGGAGCAGTAGCATTCTCTACACTAAGTTGCCTGGCGTATGACTCTATTCGGCCCCAGCTGATCAAAAATCCATGAAAGGTACAAATTAATAAAGCAGAGAGTGAAATATTGGCTGTACCGCCAAAAAAAGGCCCGGAGTGTTATTTGCTAACAATAACATGGAGAAAATGATAGGTATGAATGGACAACGCATTGTAACTATGCAACAAAAGTAAAAGCTGCGCTAAGAAAGCCAGACGAGTCAGTGGCGCGACCCACAAACCCCTAATGTGAGAATCCTACGGAGTAGAGTATATGGCGTTTAGAATAACGGAGCCTAGTGTCTCTAGTCACCCTTTAATCTTCGTCACAATATGGTTAATGACACTCAACATAAGAAGTTTGTCTATTCTTACACCTGTATCTGTCGGGCTGACCATTGATAAAGCACAAGATTTGCGCCAAACAGGGGTGTTTTCAACCACAGGGCAGTGCATATGATAGCAACACCAATGAGGCTAGTCAGGGAAAAGCGCTCCATGTACACATACCCTTGTCAGGAAAATCAAGTCAACACTCGAGATGGTGTGCTAAAAGGAAATCCAGAGAAATGCAAGGCCTGTTTTATACGACGGAACAAGCGAGGTACATTACTTATGTAGGTAGGAACCGATTGGTACTAGTGATGATTAGCTATTGGCTTCTTGGTCCCCCGCCCCCTAAATGCCGCCCCCAAAAAGGCGCGGCAAAAAAAACCGAACCCCTACTGCGGACCTGAAAACTGACCCCTGACAAGGATGATGTGTGATATCCCGGGCACACTTGCAGGCGCCTTGTTCCTCGAACCCAATCAAACAAGTGTTGGGGTTTATGCGCTTCTGTTACTCTCGTCAGATACCTGTAACCAACTAACTATGTTGTAGCTACTCGTGATGGATTGGTAAGTGAAATGTATTTCCACCTGGGCGAAGTTGCTGGAATAGCTAGGGTTCAAATGTGGGTATCCATTCATGTGTGCAAGTATTTTCTTGGTTTTTTTTTTTTTCGGAAATTGCAAATACAATGTACTTTTGCACGTTTTATCTTTTACGTGTTGGAAACGATTCAAGGTCAATGCCCATGTGGAAGGGACCAACTAATGAAGGCTCTATCAGAGTGACCGGGGTATAACGGCGGTCCTACTTGATAGTGGTCGGTGCAGTACACACTGTAGGAGAAAATTCAAAATATATATTGATAGCTTTTCCTTTCTCCTTTGCGTTTCTTCCTTCACTTCAGACATCCCGGCTTTGAAGCCGCCTTGAGCCAAAATCATATCCTACCCCAAGAGCCCTGGAAACCTCTATAAGAACTTACTGTACTGTATGGGAAAGAAGCGACAAGATATGACGAGTTGAACTGACCTTATAAAGGCTTGAGACAAAGAACATGGATAGACCTGAATATTTCATCAGCTGGGGTTCAGAGAGATACGTTCCACTACGACGATTCGAAGACCTCCAGTCGTATCGCCACGATCTCATTCGGTATTATGGGGAGGTCCTCGACACAGCTCAAACCTTCACGCAGCATTTTTCAAAACAGCCTCTAAAGAGTTACGACATCGAAAGGTCGCTGAGCAAGATTATGGCTTGTGACCCTTCAGGCTGGAATAAAGACGCAAATAGCACATCTATTTGTTGGTTGGACATTGTTCGTCACGGCGATTTCGAGCAACAAAGTGATGGATCTTACTACTGCTCCATTCAGGGGAAGGTGATCAATTTCGATCCGCAAATACACGATAGGGTCGAGTTTTGCCGAAGCCATGCCGCCCAAATTTCCAATTCGGGGCCAAGCCACGCAGAGGTGGAACGAGAGGCAGAGACCACTCAGAAGATATTGACTGATATCTCCGGCGAACTAAGCGACTTCCCCAGATGTCCGTACTTCCCTCCTATTCATGAATTTAATGAAGCAGCAACCTAACCGGAACAGATATGAGAAGTCTAGAGAACCTTGAACGAGCGCTGAAGATACGCCTGAGCAAGCTTCAATCCCTCCTAGATCCCACTACAATATCTCCTACGCCAACAAGTCCCCCTACGCAGTATTTGACGCCGCGTGAGCCCGATACCGCAGTATTTACCGAGAGATTCCGTGCATCAAGTCCAGCACAATCATGCTCGTCGGACGGATCAAGCGGATCGGAAATGACCCCTGATGACGACCACAAGATCAGTTTGGACAGCTCCTCTGAACATCCGAGTGAGGATAATGAGTCAGGGGACGAAAACTCAGAGTACAAGTCCCCGGAAAACAAAGGCCCAGAAGACGGGGACTTGGGCGGCATGATCCAAGAGGAGAAAGGGACACGAGATGGCAGTTCCAAGAATGGCTCCAGTCAACAGAGGTACAACAACTCTAATATTGGAAGCGACGCGGCACGAGATGGTGACATAGTCGTTCCATTAAATCCTTTGTCCCTGGGAACATCATCTTCGATGCCTCTAACAGGGGAGGATAAAAATGCCACCTCATCATCTCGTATTTCTCTGCCAGGAGACATTGGAAAAGCCGGCTCGGCGAGCCCCGTGTTCTTGACAGACTTATCGCCCAGCTCTTTATCACCGAAGAGTGAAAACGACGTTAAAAAGGACCCTGTGTCCTCACAAGAAGATCTCGAGCTGGATATGCACATATCACCCCGAAAAGGTCCCCTGCGCGAGGGAGGCAATACGCTCGTCGAAAATGAGACCCCACCTCTCTGCACATCTAAGCGGCAGAGATTCACCAATGTGTCGGAATCACAGAAAAATCCGAAAGTCAATATGTGGTCCAGCCATCAGGAGAGATCGGATGCTGTTGCCTGGATGAAGGCCCATGCACACGAAGGATGGAACGATTCGGAAAGAGCGAGACAATATCTCGTCAAATTTGGCCGCAGCCGAGCTGCCACGACCCTCAACACATGGATGGACGACCCAAAGAATTCTCAAGCGGAGAGTCTTATCGCGAAATTGAAAGTTCCGAGTGCTTGTCTGCGTGAGTTATCGAATGATAATTCTTCATAGCCAACGCCGTGCCTTTCAAATGGCGATTTGATCTCTCTTTGGGGCTGCATACCAAAGGATATACTTCGAGTAAAAGAACAGGACGCTCCAAGTCTCTTTAGGAAAAGAAATGGAAATAATCACATTGGGCGCTTGGTATAAGCTAATACAAAGATTGGAGGGATTTCAAATGTTATATCATGATAGAAAAGCAGACTCTTCCTTTTTAATAATATTCTGCGTTTCCCATTTACCTTCCAATACCGTTTGGTATTGATATATTACAGCATCGTGTAAATGTGGTATTTTCGCAGTTCATAGAAAAGTCCCGACGCGCCCACAGAGGGGAAGGTCGAGACTGACTATGTACAGAGCACTCTGTATGGGGTAAAGGGAAATGAGCGTGGCCAGCCAGCTCTGCATGGTTACGGTGGAATTGTGACATGTCTTTCTTGGAATGTTGCTAGTATGCATCCAGTTTGCGCGCCTATTCTTATTGGTCTAGGTGCTGTCGATTTTTGCAGGGTAGTCAATTGCTTTTTCATTTGGGAAAATGGGAAGTTCCCCCTTTTCCAAACCATTATTGGATAAGTAGAAGCTGGCTTTTTTCTAATGCTGTTTAGACTCGTTGTGGTTTTATTAGGACAGGCCACCTGCCGATGCTTTGTTTGTCGTGCTCCACCTAGTGATATTAGCTTCTGTTTGTTTGTAGAGAATCAAGTCTTCTTCCGTCCTCTCTTTGCTCCCTTTAAATGTTAGTAGTCAGATCAGATTTCACCGGCCGAACCGTACTTCTATGCGCCCAAACCCTTTCCCGTGTCATCTCTACGGAAATTGCTCTCACATCATGACTAGCGACTGTATAGTGCAGGCATGTGAAACAAAAGCAAACGAGGGACTTAAGCCATACCTCTTATTAGACCGTGCTTTGCTCGAGGCTCGTGAGATCTATGACTCTTTTGCGTCTGTCGTCGAAAACAGCGGACCGCTGCCAGCCAACTACGGCGAATCGCTTTTCTACTCTGAAGTGCAAGAGAGAGAGTTGTGAGATTCTTCAGCAAGCCACGGCCACGCCGACTTGAGCCTGATGATTCTTTTGATATACCTTTATTTGCTCGTAGGTAGTGATGAACCCATACTTGCGTTGTTCATCACGCATGTATAGAGCAATCTGGCCGAGTAGCTTGCGCAGATATCTTTCCGGCACTCCGTGCAGCCCATGGTCTCGGACCCAGAACACTTTCACTTCCCTGATCGACATGACCTTCCAAGTGCCGTTGACCAGGGCAATATCTGGCTCGCCTTGGATTTGGCAGTTTGCAGCCTTCCAACATGCGAATTTGATATCGATATTCATGGCATTCAGGATTCCTCCAAGTACCGTTCCGACTGAGTGCATAAAACGGGCCTGGGACGCTGGACTCTTGGCCTATAGTCACGAACTCGCCGATTGTCTCATTGTCTTCTGCATTTCGTCAAATGAATCTGTTTGAATATGTTTCTGTACACCTGAGGTAGTGGGATTAGAAGGTGCCCCTGGTAGGTAAGAGGTAAAAACTCGTAGGCGAGCAAGGAGTGAGCAAGAAGTGAGAAGCGAGTAAGAGCATAGAGGGAGCCAACATAGCTTTAGATAAAAATGAATAAAGCTGGGGCATCTGTTGAGTGTAAGGCAATTGAGACTTCATATTGATGACTAGGATAGGGTATGATCTTAAAGGAGAAATAAAGCCCGAAATACATACAATTGTATTCCTATAATGGTCATGAGTGGGGGATTTCCACGTATTTCCTGCAAAATGCGGCGCATATCCTGAGATGCTTCTCCTTACTATAGAGATGAAAGCGGGCTTCTTGGCCGTCATGACAAGCCCCCGCTTAACGATGCCTCGCCTGTCTGTTTACGTGCGTACTGGAATGTAATCTTCAATATCCTTGCTTCCCTATACTAAGGCTGAATCCCTAAAGGCTCCGAAGTTTGCTATAGTGCAATCTCAAACTTCTAGTGACGTCCAGCGTGCGGAAAGTGCTACAGAGATATTTTCTATAATAGACAAGCCTGTGTAGTCGGTGCTTCGTTTCCCCGGCCCATACTAGGCTAATATCAAATTTCACTTCCTTCGAGAACTGGTCTACTGGCTGTAGTGACGAGACATGGCGGTTCGTGATAGCTTCAGGACCCATTTATTTTACTATAGATGTCCAGCACGAGGATTTCAGTGAAGACAGCCCTGGAGGCTGTAGATAGTGAGAGACCGCTTAGGAAGCCTGCTTCACGAACTTTAAAAGAATGGTTTCCATACATTCATTCACATATTTCAACCATCTACTCTGCACAACAGCACACAGTAATAATTACACGAGCATGATTACTTCAAGGATCTCTAACACAAAGGAGAAAAAGAATACAGGAGCAGTCGAAAAGGAACAGCCCATAAAACCCCATCGTATAAAATGGCACATATACCTCAGATCCCCGTCTTTAAAACCAGGACAAGACACGCGATGCATCAGAAGGGGCGACAATTCTAAACAAGGTCACGCTTGACGAACTCAGCGAGAAGGGTCTTGCCGAGGGAAGCAGGGCTGCGCTCGACGATGACACCAGCATCGGTGAGAGCAGCAATCTTGGAGTCGGCACCACCCTTACCACCGCTGACGATGGCACCGGCGTGACCCATGCGGCGGCCGGGGGGAGCGGAGATACCGGCAATGAAAGAGACAGCGGGCTTGTTGTGGATGTTGTTGGCCTTGAAGAACTCGGCGGCATCCTCCTCGGCGGAACCACCAATCTCACCGATCATGATGATACCGTCGGTCTCGGGGTCCTCGAGGAAGACCTTGAGGCAGTCAATGAAGTTGGTGCCGGAGAAGGGGTCGCCGCCGATACCGACGACGAGGGACTGACCAAGGCCAGTGAGAGTGGTCTGGTTGACGGCCTCGTAGGTCAGGGTACCGGAACGGGAGACAATGCCGACACGGCCGCGCTTGTGGATGAAGCCGGGCATGATACCGATCTTGCATTGACCCTATGAACGAGATGTGTGAGTTTTTGCGCGACTCGCATGACTAGAGAAAGTTGGAGTGGTAGCTTACAGGAGCGATGATACCAGGGCAGTTAGGACCGATCAGGCGGGTCTTGTTCTGGGTCTTGAGAATGTCGGTGATGCGGACCATGTCTATATGAAATCAATCAGTTCGCGCACTTCAATTGGGGGTCAATCGATCCGTACCGTGCTGAGGGATACCCTCAGTAATGCTGTTAAACGAGAAACTGTCAGATAGAAGTTCTTTGCAAGGGGGAGCTCCAATGAACACGTACCAAACAACGAGGCCCATCTCAGCGGCGATGGCCTCCTCGATACCGGCAGCGGCAAGAGGGGGACTAATTGCAGTTAGCTTTGTTTGGCTGATATTTCGAGACAATAGGAGTTATCATACGGAACGAAGATAGCGGAAGCTGTGGCACCGGTCTCCTTCACGGCGTCGCTAACGTTGGCGAAAACGGGACGGTCAAGGTGCGTGGTGCCGGCCTTCTTGGGGTTGGTACCACCGACGACATTTGTGCCTGTCTTGTGTAAGCTATTGTTTGGATGCGATCGCGGCTCGATAGATATTTACCGTAGGCGATGGCCTGCTCAGCGTGGAAGCTATATCAAGGCCAAATGTCAGCACCGTGCGCGTGTGACTATGAGAGCGTGAGAATTGCACTTACGTTCCCTGCTTTCCAGTGAAACCCTGGAACAGAACGCGGGTGTCCTTGTTGATCTTAAGGTTGTTCAAGGTCTCGCTGTAGGCAGAGGTGGCCTGAGTCCGACGCTGGGTGGCACCGACATTGCGAAGGGCCGAGAGGGTGTTACGGCGGAAGGCCTGCATTGCTGCAAGATTGTATGTATGAGGGGAGAGGTGAGGTATATGAAGTGAGGTGGAAAGAAAGAAAAGGACGGGATAAAGGGCAGGTGTTCGGGATACGCACCCGGGAGTTTTCGCTCGGGATAATTATTTTACTTAAGCGGAACTGACTTTCAAGGTTCGGGCTCGGCACCACATTTTTCTATCTAATCAACCTCACCCCCACTAAATACAACAACTTGCAAGGTTGTCGCTTCTGGTTATTGAAAAGACTTCCCGCCTAGGCGCGGTGTTATTATCTTCACCATGGCTACCATGACTATGACCTCGCAGGAAATCAAAAGGGCCGCCAAGAAGAACGCAAAGAATGTACCGGAGAACGAGCGGTTCATGCGAGCGTGTTCCGATATTGCAAATGCTCTCATTCAAGATTACGAGTCATACAGAGACTCTAGCAAGCCGAAGAAGGATCTCAATCTTAACAAGTTGCGGGCTACCTTTTCGAGGAAGCACAGCTTGTCCAGTTCGCCACCACTGACGGCCATTATCGCGGCAGTACCTGAGCACTACAAGAAATATATCCTGCCAAAGCTGATCGCGAAGCCGATTCGTACGTTTACCTATTCCAAGTGGGAGTGTTGGATTATCGCTAACCTCGTTCATAGGAACCTCCTCTGGTATCGCCGTGGTGGCGGTTATGTGCAAACCCCATCGATGCCCCCACATCGCGTATACCGGTAACATCTGTGTATATTGCCCTGGTGGCCCAGACTCCGATTTCGAATACTCGACTCAGTCATATACTGGATATGAACCAACTTCGATGCGAGCGATCCGCGCTCGTTACGATCCGTTTGAGCAGGCGCGAGGACGTGTGGACCAGATCAAAGCTCTCGGTCACAGCGTGGACAAGGTGGAATACATTATCATGGGCGGAACTTTCATGTCGCTACCGGAAGATTACAGGGACAGCTTCATCTCCCAGCTTCACAACGCGCTGAGCGGATACCAAACCGACAACGTTGACGAGGCCGTGCTGGCAGGCGAAATGAGCAACGTGAAGTGTGTGGGTATCACAATCGAAACCCGGCCAGATTACTGCCTGGATACACATTTGAGCAGCATGCTCCGCTACGGTTGCACGCGGTTGGAAATTGGCGTGCAGAGTCTGTACGAGGATGTTGCGCGAGACACCAACCGTGGCCACACCGTAGCAGCAGTAGCTGAGACATTCAAGCTTGCCAAGGATGCCGGGTTCAAGGTTGTCAGCCACATGATGCCGGACCTGCCGAACGTTGGAATGGAGCGCGATCTTTTCCAGTTCCAGGAGTACTTCGAGAACCCCAACTTCCGTACGGACGGTCTCAAACTCTACCCCACGCTTGTCATCCGAGGCACCGGTCTCTACGAACTGTGGCGCACTGGCCGTTATAAGAACTACACACCCAACGCACTTATCGACCTCGTCGCACGCATCCTCGCCCTAGTTCCCCCGTGGACCCGTATCTACCGAGTCCAGCGCGATATCCCCATGCCACTTGTTACCTCCGGTGTGGAGAACGGCAACCTGCGCGAACTGGCATTGGCGCGTATGAAGGACTTCGGCACAACGTGCCGTGATGTGCGCACACGAGAAGTCGGTATCAACGAAGTCAAGAACAAGATCCGTCCATCGCAGATTGAGTTGATCCGCCGTGACTACACTGCCAATGGCGGGTGGGAGACTTTCTTGGCATACGAAGACCCGAAGCAGGATATTCTCATTGGATTGCTTCGTCTACGCAAGTGCACTGAGACTCATACCTTCCGTCCTGAGTTCACCGGCCAGCAGACCAGTATTGTCCGCGAGCTTCATGTCTACGGTTCTGCCGTGCCACTTCACGGACGTGATGCCCGCAAGTTCCAGCACCGCGGTTTTGGAACTTTGTTGATGGAGGAGGCGGAGCGTATTGCCCGCGAGGAGCACGGTAGTCGCAAAATCAGTGTCATCTCCGGTGTGGGCGTGCGTAACTACTATGCTCGCCTCGGGTACTTCCTTGATGGTCCTTACATGTCCAAGATGTTGGACCCATGGGAGGACGACGAGTAATGATCTGGAAGAACACGAAAAGAAAAAGAAAAGGAATGAAAAAGAAAAAGGAAATCAGATACCCAGCTGAGGCTAGGTATTTGATTGTGCATCCACTGGCGTTGGCGGTCTCACAAAAACTTGATTTTCTTCTCAACGAAGGACAAATGATTGAATGTCTATACCAAATTTTATCTCTAGATGCGTCCAATGGACAAAAGGTGATACCAAAAAGCTGGAAATAATTATGAGCGCTCTATGTACAAGTCGCAGGTCGGCCATCTGTGTATTCTAGCAAAGGAGACCGGGAAACCTGCCCGCTAACGCCTTTCATGTAGTCCGATGCTGCTCGTCTGTGACATAGACGAATCCGGGTCGCACATAGTGAACATACGTGATTCGTACTCGAGAAGGTTGAAGGCATTCTCTTGGCCTCGAATCACTCCCAACGCGTCAAATTTAAACCACCGTGTAGTACTCAAGAACCCCGAGATATAAGCTCAAAAGATTGAAAATCGACAGATAAAGGTGTCATGAAGACATCGAAGGAAAAGGGACCAAGCTAATTTCAATGCAGTGATATAGCACCTCCCCTACTGTCTCGAATGTGAAGGTAGGCCTGGAAACCGCAGAAAACGAAGAAGCCCTGTGAGCGAGAAAAGCGCATCGTCAGTAACCGATTCCTTTCTCATGCAACGAATGAGCCCGTCGGGGCTGACGGAGGGGGAGTGACGTACAGCGTAGACGATCACAGCGGTGTAAATGGAGGCGGCAACTGCAGGGCCATCTTCGGGTTCGCCTTCTGATCCGGTGTATGCGTGGTTATTGCTCTATATTTAGGAACTTCGCGTTAGCGGCTGAAACGCCATATTACGTAGGTCTGTGACAATGGGTCTTTGGGGGGTTTGACGGGTAGGTCAGAGTCGGGGAGACGCACACTGTATAGCGAGCCAAGGACCGAGAGGATGACGATTGCGAAAATGGAGATAATGACACTGTCCGAGAAGCGAGGGGTTAGAGCGATAGGACTTTCGATGGATATTGTCTGTGACGAGGGAGCGTACCAAGACCAGGCATTCAAGGCAGAGACGACGGGCTTCATATTGGCGGTTTAATAGTAGGTGAGGAGTGTTGCAAAATTATCAGGATAGGTAGCTTGTTGGAGAAAGAGGTGGTCGCAAATCGGCTAATACAGAGAGTTGAGGTTGGAGACTTGAGATACGGAGGCGGGCGGACCTTCAGTTGATGCAAGCCCCTAAGCCGCTTTGGGACAAGTCCAGACACAACTGTGACTCGTTCTCCTTGCTGTTTGTATGCATCTCTTTCATCAATAAATAGTAAATAAGGATATAGAAATATTATTCAAGTCGTCATAATCCTCTTTGATATAATCTATTCGTTTTGCTTTATGTTCTATTTTCAATGCGTTTTGTTCCACTGGATACATTCATCAAACGTCACACCAGAGCCACCGAAGATATCTAGCGCGCTGCCAATCGTCAAATCCACTCTTCCCTTGCTACTAGTATGGACCTTTTCCAGATCTTGTAAATGGCGCGCACCTCCTGCGTAGGTCACGGGAATAGTACACCATTCAGCTAGTCTTGAAACAAGTTCCTCATCGACGCCTTGTTGCAGGCCCTCTACGTCTGCAGCGTGAATTAGGAACTCGGCGCAATATGGTTCCAGCATTGAGATCGATTCTACACAGTATCAGTGAGCCAAAATCCAACCTGGGGTCAGCACTGGCTGGACATACCCTGGTTGATCTCCATCTCTGTGATGGTTTGCCAGCGGTCCATCGCAACGAACCAAGTATTGTCTTTCCTGCGGCAGCTCAGGTCCAAGACCAGCTTTGACTTGTCGCCACCTAGGGCAGAAAGGACTGACTCGAGTCGCTCGAGCGAGAACTTGCCCCCAGGGAAGAGGAACGAAGTGATGATCACCTGTTGCCCGCATTCAACATGATTAGCGTCATCGGACTCTTGCTATGACGCAGCGCAAGCAACCAGGAACAAGAAATAAAAGGACAGACGCAGTGAGTTGTCGACCAAGCACAATGCAAAGCGAAGAGTCATCCGTCTGCAATCGGGGGCTTACCTTGTCTGCACCCTGATCGATCCAATATTGCGCATTCTTATCCGTGATACCGCCGGCCACTTGCAATCCACCCGGCCATGTCTGCAATGCCTCCTGGGCAGCTTCTTCATTTCCTGGCCCAAGCTTCACGACATGCCCGCCGCGCAACTCGTGTTTCTGATACAATCCCGCATAGTGGCTGGCCGGGAGCTTGGATATGTAGTTGGTCTTCAGGTCTGTGGCCACCTGGCTGAGCGTACCACCCACAATCTGCTTGACCTGCCCTGAATGCAGGTCAATGCACGGCCTGAACTTGGTCATTTTCTCTGGCAAATTGAGAACAGCCTTGGAAGTCGATTCAGTGGCGATCCATGGATGTGTGAATCGAGGGGCGGCTTATCTTATCGCACGTGATCTTGAGCTTAGTTAGAAAAACTTTTGGACCGAGACACGAGTGTTCGATTTACAATTTGGTCGACAGCATATTCATCATGGTTGTGAAACGAAAGAGAGAAACCATTGTGGTTTCCAAGCCCCAGGCCAATGAAGATAGCCCTCCTCCGGTGGAAAATGCGCAGGACGTATTCCGCAGATTATTCGAAGCGCAATTCGAGCCACTCGATTTGCCAGGCACTACCGCCAAATCTACAAATTCCGACGAAGAAGAAAACGAGGATGACGATGACTCCGATCCCTCCGGCTCGGAAGGTGGCTGGGATGGAATGTCCGACGTCAGTGACGAAAGCAACCCAGTCGAGGTGGTCGAACACACGGGCAGTTACACGGCACCAGCAGACAGAATGGACAAGAAGACTTGGAAGGCGTTTATGGTATGTGCTAGATCTCAATGCATCCAAGATCCATGCTAATACTGAGGTCCGCAGAGTGGAAAGCTGTTGTCCGACTTGGATAAGCCGAGCACCGACCCAGAGCCTACGTCCAAAAAAGAAGAAGAAGAAGACGCCCACGACTCTGCGAACCTCAAGCACGATCTTGCATTGCAAAGACTACTTAAGGAGTCGCACCTTCTCGACTCCGCCGATGATCTGGCCCCCACTGGAAAGAACCGTTTGAAGGCTTTGGATATGCGCATGCAATCCCTTGGAGCCAAAACCTCGCTCTATGCGCAAACTAAAATGCCTACTGCGCACCGCCGAGGCATCAAAGCTAAGGCTGCATCAAAGGAAGACAAACGCCGCCAAGAAGCCAAGGAGAACGGCATCATTCTCGAAAAGCCTAGCAAGGTACAGAAATCGAGCAAGAGCGCGCGAAGAGAGCGCGGCCTTGTCGGATCCTCCGTCGGCAAGTTCTCAGGAGGCACATTGAACCTGAACAAAGACGACATCGCTCGCGTCCAGGCGTCAGGACGCCGTATGATGGGTGGCAGAGGAAAGGGCAAAACAAGAGGCGGCAGGGGCGGTAGCAGAGGCGACAGACGCTAAGATCACGATGTTTGAGAAAGGGTCTTATTCCATTCTTAGGCTAATATGCTTCTTCGTGTGGCACTGCCTACCCACGCTACTTCAACACAGGAGCTAGATGGGTCGATGATCCACAAATGCATCTCACGCCATGTCCGCTCCGATCTCTATATCTCACGGGTCATGAGCTACAACTTCAATCTCAACCCGCATGTCATCCTCGCCGAGCCTCGTTACGCCAACACATGTCCAAATAGGCTGGTGGTTCGGCATCCATTTTTTGAAATTCCGCACCATCGCCTGCAGGGCCTCGTCGTTGATCGGGACGTGGTACGAGTTCACCCGAAATACCTGCTCCCACCCTTTTCCACCAGCGTGCTTCAGGTTCAGGTCCACGTTGGCGAAAGCTTGGTCGACCTGCGCATTGATCTCTCGATGGATCACAAATGTCTGCGGATCCCAACCACCTGTTCAAGATTCGTCGGCACGATCTATTCATTCGGAAAGCGAGGAGTGTACATACCTTGGCCTGCACATTCGATGCGGTCGCCAATGCGGACGGCTTGGCTGTAATAGAAGTCTCGCTTTGCTTTCTGGCCCCAGCCGTCATAGTTGGAGTATTGGAGGTGGGACATACTCAATAGAGATAATGAACACTTGACGGTCTATAGATCTTTGGAAATGCGTATTCTTCCAAAAAGGTTTGTAACGCTCAATTGAGGTAATAGATGAACTGTCAGGTTAAGAAATTTCAGGTGTACAGCTCGTCAGTGTTTCACTCTCTACAATTAAATACTCTTCCACTCGAGTCGTTATGCGGAATATACATTCCGCCGGACAACATACGTCATACATTTATATCGAGTGAGAGGCCACACGAACATTGCGATACCCAGTAATTTGACTAAACCTATGTCGGCAATTATTAGAGACGCAAAGCTTATGAGTCAGCCATTTCTTGCTTAGTTCCTTAACTGCAGGTGTACCTACGTTGCTGGATCCGTACATATGTACTTATGTATGTAGGTGAGGATATATATGTGCTCTAGGTGCTACGTAGAACAACAGTCAACAATTTACATGTGTATACTTCCTACTATACGTAAACAATTGGATCTTGTTAATTGGCTTGAACCGTGATAGTTCTATAGCACCATTTCGCATTGAGCTTGCGAATGCACTACTCCGGTCAACGACTCTCAACGCCGAAGTCATCATGGCTCGGCGATTCAAACGTGCAGATAGAGATAAAAGTTCTTCTAAAACAGCCTGTTTCACCCGAAACAGGGTAGAGCGTGATCTATCCTTAAGTTCGTAAATACTCCGAGAGATGCGAACCTTCCGGCGCCAAGTACTCACTTTTGCGACGCCAAGGTCTCGAGATCTTGATCGAATGATACCAACGAGTCAAACCAACACGAGAGGAAGATCTATTCAGCCGAATACCCAATTCCCTCAATGTACAATACACATTGTATTGCAAATATAATGTAATTCGCCTCAACCACCTGATCCGGCGGTCGTTATCGTGAGATATGCATCTCCACACTCCACGCTATCAAACTATGATATCCACGGTAACAACTCACCCAATCGCCAGATCCACAAGAGAGCTCCATACGTTGACGATCAGGGGCGTTCCGAGGGACCCTGTAGGGTCGACACTCAGGATATGCGTTCGGGAAAGAAACCGCGTGCCTCGGTCCACAGGGTCCCATCTACATATTTTGTTCTGGACCCGGCAGCATGATGCCAAGCAGTTCCATTATATTCAGCGGTGGGGGAACTAGGGTTTTCGTTTTGAGTGGCCCTTTTAACGTTTCTGCTAATAGAGGACACTCAGGCGACCTAGAAAATGAGAGAATGATCGACAGTTTGGCAGAGTATATTAAGGGACGTCATTTTCTGCGACTAACGATATGCTAGGGTGTCTTTTGCTGTAGATAGCCCTACATTCTTCGTGGGACGCTCTGGAATTCTTCATATTAGCTTGTGTCTGTCAAGTTCTTTTGGTTGGATCGGGAAAGCCAGGGGTGCATCAGATCTGCAAATCCCCTGGTCAATGCGCTTGGCTTATGAAGCGCCAGACCAAATAGTTTAGACACAGCCTCCTATGTTCGTATCACTAATACGGATTAGATTTGAAATAATTATCTTTGTTTTCTTTGCTACTATCGTTACGGAGTGAATCCATAAGAGTAGACTGTGTTTCAAATGGGGATTGCCCTACCTGCAGGGGGATCTACTACATCTGCCAGATTTGAAAGCTACAGTGACAGAGACTATTGTTTCAGAAATTTTGAGAAAATCCAATTATAGACTGCTAAAAAGAAAAGAAGAACTTGTAATGAAGGGTATGCGGTGCTAGAGACGGGGAAGTGGCGAGTCAACATATGTGGTCTTGCGATTGATGTCAACCTTGGAATGGAACTTTTAGCCAAGACCCATCCAGAAGCACAATCACATGAAACTCCTACTCCGTAGACATGTGCTTCTCAGCTCCGTTGCGACTGTGGGGCCGATATCTACGTACTGACGAGACTTGGATATTCTTCAGGAAGAGCCTCGCTACAACGTACACAGGTACCTCGCCAAATCAGATTCGCGCCAAAGTTTATCATCAACCATAACGTTGGCCTCGGTTCACCCGAAACAGAGTTCAAAATACAACATGTATGATGTGACTCGGAAGACTTGAAAGTCAAGCTGGAACCCTACTCCAACCGAGGGGTCCAGACCACTATATTGGTTAGAAGTGGCAATCTCGCACCATGTCGGCCCAATCTACTAATGAAACCAACCAACGTGCACTAACGGAGACGGTATCGGGTACCCGAGAATCGGCATCCGCGGCAGCGAAGGCGTTAGATACAAGACCGTTCTCGCCGTGAAACCGGAGACTTGGCGTTGGGCATCAATATTGAGGACTCGATGGAAAATTGAGTTCAGTCAAGTCGCCAAGATGGGAAACTGCATCAGCCTTACAGGGTAGACAGCCCTGGCCAGCCTTAACCGAGATGAAGGTTGGGTTCGAGATAGAAAAACACCCCGAAAGTATAAAGCCGACGCTCAATCGCGAAGCGATGTGCAAGTTAATGATCAATCCTAGACGATGACGAGCTCTTGGCGGCTCCGCTCTGATTTCAAGAATTGTCACGCGTGGCGCATCAGTGGAGTCAGATAGGGAGACCAAGCTATCCTCTTGTGGGTCTGGTCGACGAGAGGATTGGCACCATTTATGCACAGTACATAGTATATTGTACGGAGTACTCCGTACATACGTGCTATTTACTAGCACGTATAGAGTGTGTACTCCTTACTCCGTACCTACGTTGTATTCCATAGAGGCCGTTTAACTTGTCGATCATCTCCTTTCTAGTGCGAACCTTGTCCCAAGAGAAAGTGCTGCACGCATTCCTTCTCCTATCCATATGTGCATGGCAATATACTGCATTTGTTAGTAGCTTGGGTGTATCATCTATCTGGAATTACAATGCATCGTCATTGGGTTGCGATGCTAAACCCTGTACCCAACCGCCCCCTTTGCGGGTCCCCGATTGGCGAGCTATGAGCAGCAAGGGCCAACATCCCCTATACAGATACATCAGGGGGGAATGCATACGTAAGTCAATGGCGTATCCTGTCCAATAATCTCCTCTGAATCAATATGACTAGGGTTAATGACGAAGCTTGGCATTCGCTTGACAGATAGTTATCAAAATGGCTAATATTCGACACGTGGAGAAAATGAGGCCTTGGAACAGGAATCAAGTTTCAGCTTCTCTTTCCTATAATCGAGATACGTATCCGCTTCGGCAAGACATGGCTTGGGAACCTTGGACCTATTAGTGGATTAGTTAGCCGGCTTATCATACATGCCAGCCCTGCAGGCTTTCAGGGCGTTTAGCACACTAAATATGCCGCGGAGCTGAACCGAGCGAGAGTTTCTCGACTGTTAGACGGGGGGATTTTCGACATCTTTTCTCCGACTATAAAATTTTAGGGTGAAACCGGACTTGGGTGTGCATATGCTGTGGAGATCGATTCCGTTATACATGCGTGTATGGAGACTGGAAGGAATTCCAGTGGGTATTGGAATCTGCCCTATGAGCTTTGGTATCGGCACTATTCATCCATAGTCAATCAAGCCCCAAATCAGGAATTTGTTTTCCCTGGGGTAGACGTCAGCTTTCGAGCCTTAGGGATAAAACAATAGACATACAGTTGTCTGCACTAGAGGCATAAGTCATTCTGTAAGCTTGTGGGAATCCTCGCACTAGAACCCCGAGTATTCCAACTGCGGATCATGGCCCGTATGTGGTCAAATTGAGCGACGTCGGGTTTACCAGATCTGTCATATCCGTGCCACTTTCTACCATCAAGGGGATGGTATAGTGGTCCCCCTGGTCGAACCCACTGTGGAGCACTTTTAGTTGACTCTCAAATGTATGTGCCAGCCTAATATTTCTTTTGTATTTTTGGATAAGCCTTATAGGGGTTTCTTGCTGGAATTGAGATACAAAAGGGTGTCTCCATTCCATCATTTAGCTTTCTAGATCTCTAAAGCTGCCTGGGCCGAATGAAGCCATAGTTCCTCTTCTATTGTCAATAATCTGTGTCTGTTGATACATACAGACTTGTCTTCATATTCAATAATAAATTTTCGTCATGACCTTGTCCCAGTTCAGTTCGACAGAAACCCTCAGGGATCCGGGGTTCACAGACAAGTCGATCAATCCAAGCCCTAATCTCTCACCTCAGGATGAGAAAGACTTCCCGATACCGTCAACACCAGCAGAGTCAATTGACCTTGAAAGCCGAGCATCAGAATCACCACCATATCATGTGTTCACTCGGTCTCGAAAGTTGTTGATGGTCATTATTGTCTCCTTCGCCGCCATCTTCTCGCCACTATCTTCAAATATCTACTTCCCTGCGCTTTCAGATGTTGCAGAGGTTAGTCAACTTGAGTAATACACTTGGCTACTTCTTGTTAACGGCAAAACAGGAACTAAACATCTCCATGTCTCTAGCTGCATTAACCATCACGGTATACATGATTGTCCAGGGTCTTGCCCCAAGCTTTTGGGGTTCTTTCTCCGATGTACTAGGCCGTCGTGTGCTCTTTATCGGCACATTTGGTGTATACATTGTTTCGAATGTCGCTTTGGCTGTCTCTACCAACTATGGTGAACTTATGGCTTTCCGAGGGCTTCAGGCTGCCGGAAGTGCAGCCACCATCTCAATTGGTATGGTACATTAATCACCCCTGCTTGTGTCTTAGCTAACTTTCATAGGCGCTGGTGTCATTGGTGATATTACCACGTCAGCGGAACGAGGAAGTCTGATTGGGATCTTTGGTGGTGGTAAGTAACCCGCTACTCGGATATACTGCTATGTTCTAAGCTAACAGTATCCAGTGCGCATGTTGGGCCAGGGAGTTGGACCAGTATTTGGGGGAATCCTCTCCCAGTATCTTGGGTTCCGATCTATCTTCTGGTTTTTGGTTACTGCATCCGGGATCAGTCTTTCCTCTATCCTGTTCTTCCTCCCTGAAACACTCCGTTCTATCGCTGGCAACGGCACTGTTCCCCTCAAAGGCATCCACAAGCCAGTCATCTACTCCATCTGCGGACAGAAAAACGCACAGGAAGACTCAGCCCCCTCTGGAAAGAAGGGCAAGGTGACTTTCAAGACCGTGCTCGCACCCCTCACCTTTCTATGCGAGAAGGATGTCTTCATCACCCTGTTATTCGGCAGCATTGTGTACGCCGTCTGGTCAATGGTAACTTCCTCCACATCCGCCCTATTTGAAAAACGATATGGCTTGAACTCAATGGAAGTCGGCCTCACCTTCCTCGGCAATGGTTTCGGATGCATGACCGGCTCCTACACAATCGGATATCTAATGGACTTTAACCACAAGCGAACGGAACGCGAATACTGCCAGCAGCACGACCTTCCCATTGACACTCCTGTCAACTTAAAGAGCCATCCAAATTTTCCCATCGAGTACGCCCGCATGCGCAACACTTGGTGGATCACTGCTATCTTCATTGTTTGTGTTTCCGTCTATGGAGTCTCCCTCCGTACACACCTTGCAGTCCCGATTATCCTGCAATTTATCATAGCCTATGGCTCCACCGCTATCTCTACCATTAACAGCGCCCTCGTGATCGACTTGTATCCCGGTGCTAGTGCTAGTGCAACGGCAGTCAACAACCTGATGAGATGTTTGATTGGTGCTGCTGGTGTCGCGGCTTCTCAGGCTATTATTGACGTTCTCACTGCCCAGTTCGCATTTCTCATGCTCGCTGGCATCACCGTCGCGATGGTCCCTCTGCTCATGGTTGAGATGAAGTGGGGCTATGGATGGCGTCTTGAGCGCCAAGAGCGCCTTCGAAGGAAGGAAGACTCGGTCTGAATGAAGACAATCGATATATCTGTCATGGAAAAAAAGGGGCGGGATTGGAAATAGAAGGGGGAAAAGTACATAATTGGTCACGGAAGCCTATCACGACTTGACGATTTGGGTTTGGCTACATACTCAGTAAAAAGCGGTGCTTACATGGTTTCACTTCTCACTCTTCTCTTTTGGCGATTATTTATTTTTGTTTCAGCTGCACATATTTATTCAAAGAGAAATAATACAGCTACCTTTGGGTAGCCTTTCGCTTTCTGTATCTTTTGCAATATTCTTATTGTATGAGGATATTATATGCCGCCCAGGCCGTAAAAGACCGCCGACGACAGCAGCCACCTGGAACTTGCATTTCATTCTCCTCTCCGCTTTCCTAATTGGGATCTCCCATGTCTTGTAATACATATGTATGTCCAAGTCGGGTATTTCTTTATTTCAAACGCCTCTCACTGATGATTTTTATGTGAAAATAGTCTATCAATTGCAAGTTCTTCTCCGAAGCCAATTCCGTAGGCTTGGGCCTACACATTGATATAGGTCATATATGTTCTTTGTGGCCTACGCCAACACCGTCAAAGTTCCGCTGGCCGCTTCCGCCATCCGTACCCACATGCGAACATCAGCTTCCCTGATGCGCCGTGGACTTTGCTTTCTTTGTAACCAACCACATTCAAATCCTATCAATAATATCAAGTACACTGAACACTCCACAAAATAAGATGGTTCTGACCATGGAATCTGCCCGAAGCCTCTACAAAAATGACATCGATTTTGCAGCGTTGGCGCTGCAATCGCGCGACTTCGCCAAGCAGTATGTGAAACGGCCTCTGCTCTGACAGAAAGACCAGCACACTGATAGAATCTAGCTTAAAACCAAACGGACAGCTGGACTTCACTGACCCAGCCGCCGTCCGGTAAGTCGGAGGACTCTAACATCTGACATCCCAGGAGTGGATCTGATTTGCATCATGCAGACAACTCACCACCACCCTCCTGCAACAAGATTTTCATCTGAAAGTTCAGATCCCCGAGGATCGACTGTGTCCACCGGTACGCACATACTGAACCTATTTCATGCACATGTATTGACTTAAGTTTCAGGTACCAAATCGGTATGTCCGACGACGGCTCGGGCCATACACGCATTATCTGACATGTGGTATAGACTCAACTACATCCTCTGGCTGCAAGACCTCCTCGACTCCACCGCCGGAGGACTACACGAAGGGTACGACCAAGACCGGGAGGTCGTTGGACTCGACATGTACGTAATGAGTCTTTCTAATCTGTGAATCATGTCTGACAAGGTGAAGCGGAACTGGATGCATCGGTATCTACCCTCTGCTGGGATGTGTAACACGTCCGCGGTGGACCTTCGTAGCAACAGGTACGTCTTTGACTCTGAGGATCTTCAGCATCCACTGATCAACCCGACAGATATCGACTCGAACAATATTCGCACCTCCCAGCATAATGCGGCCCTGAACAACCTCGAATCACGGATTCGGATCGTGCATTCCGACCCCGACGGCCCGCTCATCCCGATAGAAAAGCTGGGCTGCCAAACGTGAGTCTCCTCTGAGTTAAGACTTGCTGGGATCTTACCTGACTATCCACCAGCCTCGACTTCACCATGTGCAACCCACCCTTTTACACCTCGTCCAATGAGCTGAAGCAATCTGCTGAGCAGAAAGAGCGAGAGCCTTTCTCGGTAAGTTCACTCTCCACTTTCCATGCCAAACCACAATAATCACTCACGAAATTTCCACTTGTGTACCGTACTAACTTATATGAAGACCTGCACCGGTGCCGAAGTAGAAATGGTGACTCGCGGCGGAGAAATAGCATTCGTGAAGCGGATGATCGACGAGAGTCTCCACCTGCGCGACCGGGTCCAGTGGTACACATCCATGCTCGGCAAACTGAGCAGTATCAACGCACTGGTGGAGATGCTTATCAAGCATGGCATCACAAATTTCGCAGTCACGGAGTTCGAGCAGGGGAGCAAGACGAAGCGCTGGGCCGTGGCGTGGTCATGGGGAGACAGAAGGCCTGCTATGGTAAGTCATACTTTAACACCTTTTACTCACTTCGCGGTCGTGTTTTATGTGCTCCATGTCTAACCGCTGGTCTAGAATATTGCGCGTGGAATACCCGGGTGCCCGAAGAGTCTTCTGCCTTTTCCTGCTGATTACACATTCACGCTACCACATGGCACGTCTATCGACACAGCAACTGCTATTATAAATGCTGAACTCAGCTCATTGCCTTGGTTCTGGGCGTGGGATCAGGCACGTTCTGCGGGGACGGGATTCGCTGCTGAGAATGTGTGGTCGAGATTCGCCCGCCGGAAGATGAAACTTGCCGGTGGAGAGGGTGCGGCTAAATTGAAGGTGATTCCCGCCCAGGTGGCGCTGGGAGTACGTCTGCAGATACGGCTGGTCCGGGGTCAGAAACCGGAGGAGAAAGAAGTGAAGGTTTTGGTCCGCTGGGTACAGGGGACAGATAACGTCTTGTTCGAGAGCTTTTGCGGGATGGTGAAGAGGAAGTTGGAATCAGAATGACTCATATTTCTATGACTACTCGTCGTATTTGGTAAATGGTTGGGCAATGCGTATATGGCCGCTAGCAGATGTACTGGTATGTTTTGTAAGATGCCTGTGTCGGGGATTGGGTGTGAAGGTGTGATTCCGAACTTCGACCGCGATATAATACGTAGAGTTGGGAAGATGAACCCCAAAAAGCTGCGAGTAATCAGTCAATGGCTTCGTCAAATATTGTCTGGACCAACATAGGATGACAGACGGACGAAATATAACGGAATATACGCAAATGAACGAAAACGACATACAGAGAAACCAATCTGTTAAACGACAGGAACTAAGTGAACTAATACCACAACCGTACAGGTAGAGGGATTTAATGACAAAACGAATGTATTTTATAAAGAGTAGCAAGATGTTTAGCTATTTAACCCATTATGGGCTTATAAAGCAGTGCCAAGTACCTAGGTACTGAGCAAGTGCTACCTTAGGTGGCTACTGCATAAGAAAGTAAATATATAAATGACAGGACGGGACAGGTATACTTCCGGCTGACAAGGCGTGCGCAATCACGAAAACACAGCGGCAACTAACAGAGCGAAACCCGATCGAAATTGACAAGGATCAAGCACTAGCAGCTCTTGGAACGAACTATCCCTTCTTCTTGTTCTGTCCCGCCTGTACTTGGTGTATGGATTGGCATGTTTCTCAGCTGACGTGCCCCGCACCGTACAGCGCGTTTCGCCTCACTTGAAAAGGCCTTTGCTTCCAGTGGTCCTTGATCGTCATGCTATCAGTATGGCAACCGACGATCCAATAGACCTCGCACAGGCCGCGATTTCCCGAGTCGCGGATATCGCCTCATCGCTGGGCGTGCAATACAAGCGACCAGTATGCGGTCGTCTCGGGGCTGAGCTGCTGCTAGTCGCCAACTACATCGATACGGCCGGTGTGGATCGAGAGAAACATCTAAGACTGAGAATTTTTCAAGCTCTTACGTGACGTGGAAAGCATCTGCAATGTGGGTACCTCGTTCGACTTTGCGCTGGAACCAGAGCTAATTTCCAAAAATCAGTACCCGGATCCGATATCAGGGAATGGCTACCACCTTCTGGAGGCCATAGGCCAGTCGGTCCCGGGATTCTCCGTTTATAATAGGGCCCAAACTGAGATTCGACGAGGTCTTACCTGTCTCAATGAAAATCCTCGCCATGCGGAGCAGGTCATTTTTCACATCCAAAGGTTCACCAAAGGTGACCGAAAGTTAAGTAAACGGGATGTAAGCAATGATACAACTTCTAAAAAGAGATGGAGTCATCCAGAACGCCCGCGACATGTCAACGAGCTCGTCCATCGGACGTTGCGCGAGTATGTGTGCTGCACCTGCCAGGAGAGTGCGGTCAAAGGGCAGATGCAGAGAGAGCATCTCGTGCGCCTCCTGCTCCAGCCGCCCTCTCAGCAGATCACAGGTACCAGCCTGATTCAATTCGATATGCTATTTTCTTCAACACCATTCTGGAAAGAGGGGCTACGAAGCCACTGGCAGGATGTGGAGCTGCTTGTGCCAAGTGTCGGCCACACAAGCAACAAAAAGCGGGCTCGATTTGCTGACGCTGACCAAGAGAGCGATGATAGCGGTCACGTCAATCCATTGTCAGCGAAAAGATTATCGCGGGTGGACCGGGGTCAATTTTGCAATCTCATTGCCTTGGAAGCTAACTCGCGTCTTCGCCTTTCCATTCAAGATGGACAACTTCACCACTGCTTCGAGCCTCTTAGGCAGCTTGTCAACCACGTTCCTGGAATTTCACTCGCTGATATTCTTAGAAAGTATTATCTGACTGCCAGAATGAAGCTAGTACTAGCCTACATTATTGCATATTCTGTCTGGCAGTACTATGATTCCGACTGGATGAAAACCAAATGGACAAGCGATACGATCCAGTTTATGAAAGAGTCCGGAAACAACGAGCGTAGCGATGAGCGGCCTAAGCTGATTACTTGGAAGCCTTATCTGTCTGTCCAGTTCAATAATGAGGACCCCGAGTGCTATGAGTTCAATAAACTTGTTGGTGGGGTGCACGACTACCCCCGAATCAGAGCTCTCGGCATCATGTTGGTCGAGATAGGCATCGGCTCTCCCCTTCACAAGGGAGAACCTCAATCGCAGCCTTTAGTCGCTAAAGTGAACAATGACCCCTGATGGCTGTCTCTTACACAAAAAACGGCCGGAGGTGGCAGGAGTTTGACTACCCTGACTATATGAGTGCAGTGTCTCACTGTTTGGATCCTGGCACCTTCAATCTGGCACCATTTGTTGCCGGATCAACCCCCCGAGAAAGGAAAGAAAATCTCCAACTGCGGAAGGACAGTTTGTACGACAAAGTAGTTTTCCCTCTGGAGGAGCTGCTGCAGGGTACAAAATGGATGGAAGACTTGACAAAGATCGCCCCTTTGGAGGTTCCATCTAAGGTGACAGCATTTCAATCGCCGCCCTCCCTACATGAGGATATTGTGGAACGCACAATTGCGAAGAAGAAGCGCACGAAGAGCGAGAGGAAGGCGAGCGAGTGGCTGGCACGTTTGAACCATTTCAATAGAGAGCTAGCTCAAATCGGCCCGGCAGTTGGGCTAAGCACCTCGCCACGTGTGCGCATTGCGATTCTGGATACCGGATACGATGACAATGCTCCGTTTTTCTTTTCACCCGATGTGAATCCACGCTTGAAGGGCTGGAAAGATTGCGTAAATGAATCGGATGAGCTAATGATTCCGACGGACACGGCACTCATCTAGTCTCTCTTGTCATGAAGTGCGCCCCTGAAGCTGACATCTATGTTGCACGTGTGGCAAAAAACGCCAACCAACTTTTGAATTCCAGCGGGAAAGTTGCCGAGGTTGGTCTTATTTGGGGTCATCATCTAATAAAACCCACTAATAGGTTCTTAGGCGATTACCTGGGCAAGTGGGCAATGCAAGGCCGACATCATTTCGATGTCATTCGGTTTTGTAGACGAGCAGCCGTGCATCACTGAAGCGATTCGCGATGCCCTCGGTGAACGAAAAGATTCTCTTCTATTCTTCGCGGCAGCCTCCAACCACGGAGGGAATCCCAAGAGATGTTCCCTGCCAGGCATCCTTCTGTGATCTCGGTCCGTGGGACGGATACTAATGGCTTCTTTAAAGAATTCAACCCTCCTAAGGGCCAGAATGAAGAGGTGGTTCTTGGCACTCTGGGCCTAGATGTACCATCTGCGTGGTGCAACTGTGATGAAGAGGTTTATATGTCCGGTACATCTCCAGCTACTGCCATCGCTGCCGGCATAGCAGGAGTTTTACTGGGATACATGGGCTCTAAACCGACCGACGAGACATTCCGAACTATCAAAAATCGGGCGTGGAAGCGCCAAGGAATGTAGAAGGTCGCATCGACGAAGCACAACGGATGGGTTGCTCGGCCCTGGGGATCTGATCGCATGGGCGAGTCTCTTCTGTTGCGGGCGGACAGCGGCGCTGGGCCATTCTGGAAGAATCTCTCATTGGTATGTGATCCCGACACGTATATAGTACACGTCGCATGCTAACCTTTCCTCCACCTTAGGAGGCCATCAAGTCCTCTCTCAAGTTGTTCCAAGCCGCTGGCGACAACTAAGACGTGTGGACCTTTACCAGTCGTATGGGCGACAGCTTCGACTCAGGCACTGACGCTCGGTCGGCCGGTGCGAGTATGGAAGGTCACTCCAGCGCAACTACACCAACCCCACTGCTCCCGGAGCTAGTGCTCCCCCTACCGGTCCCGCCACTGGCCGCGGCGCCGGTAGTGCTCGCTGCGCTTTCTAGGGTGGATTCCGCGGTGGATTCCGCGGCCACCCCCGTGCCGCGACCTGCTACAAGTGCAGCGGTCTCAACTATTTCGCGCGTAACTGCCAGGCTTAGGCCATGAAGTGCTACGCCTGTGGCAAGCTCGGCCACATGTCGCGTGACTACACCGCGCCCAACGGTGGACCTTCAGCTCCGCCGGTAGGGTCTGCTACAAGTGCGCCCAGGCTGGCCACATTTCCCGCGACTGCCCTACCAACGAGGGTGCCGCTGCTCCCGCATTCTGCTATGCTAAGGCCAAGGGAAAAGGGACAGAGTGTAAATACCTGAAGGCTCGCGAGTACACGAACGAAGAGGGACTTGGGTGGATTTCCCACACAAGCTACCAGCGGAGAGAGAGAGGAAGAAGAAACTATCATTCGATCGATCAAGAATGGCTGCCTTTGTAGGCAGCAACTAGCAAACAAGCGCTCAGTCTGCCAACAAACAAAGCCTGCAGAATAAGCCTTCCATGGGGGATGGGATCATCTTCAACACTTTCCAACCAACGAGAGGACTGAAGAAATGACCCAGAAAATTCGAACCCAGGCTCAGAATGCTCGACTTTCACCGGTGACAACGTACTTTAAATGTTGTCCAAAGGCCACAACCGTTGTGCCAAGACCGTGGAGGGAGATCCCACCTAGGCACATTTCGTCGCCGCTGCTACCGCTACGACTGGAAGCATATTGGGGCATGCATGGCATTCGCAGAAGATGCACGGAAATCGGCCACTCATGACGACACTAGAGGATGTTCGTCCTCCATCGTGCATGTATGGTGAAAATACCATCATGGCTTGCGGACAACAATTTAAGATGCCAACATAACTGTGCCGGTAACCAAACCTGCGGCGGTTCTGACTTCGCCACCGGCGAGGGTGAGAAGTGTCTACCACTGTGGCTGTTGCTGAGACTGTCACTGAGACCGCGGAGAGGGCTGCCGACACCACCAAGGATGCCGCTGTGAAGACCTCCGGCAGTGTCCTTGAATGCCGAAGACTTATATCCTGCTGCATATACTTGGTTCAGTTTGTTAGGCGAGGTCTACTGTGTGGGAATCGCCGAAGTGCAAGTCGCTTGAGACATGAGATTGTTGCTAGAAGCTGGGTTCTAAACTACTGAATTCGAGATTTGAAACACTTGAATCGTTTGCCACTCGCTAAATGACCTGTAGGCTCTAGTAGCTCTCCCCCGGAGCAGAAGATGTGGGTAATTTCAGCGGCTATGTCGATTTTCTCACTTCTTGCTCTTCATCGCCAATGCCCAAAAGCATCGGTGCCGGACTTGAAAAATGCCTATTATGGCATCATGCCGATGATCTGGCATCACTTTGAACAGTACTTCGCGCCGAAGATATGAAATGTTCGCTCGTATACCAGGAAAGAGGGGTTGGTCTTCTTCAAGTATGGCGAATAGCTGTTGTCCTAGTCTTGTAGATGTATGAACTGGGAAGAAGGCGGGTTGCGGCCGGAAGGTCGATCCTTGAAATTCTCTAGTTCATCCTCCAGCTGCTGGAACGATGAGTGGTGACGAGTGCCCCTGCCAGGTAAGCTTCACTTCCTCTTAATCCTGCGCTCCCAGCCACCATGGGGTGCAGTATAAAGATTGCTAGATTGCACAATTCCATGCAGCATAAGCTTTTTGGTAAGTATATAGCCGGATATTCTGGACGCAAGTTGGTGATCCGGGAAGAGAATTGCTACAGGTCTTTATACACAACCTTTTGTGCTTAAAATTTACCGGCAAATACCACAATGACCGAGCTACACGAATATTTTTGCTGGATATAGAATGAATATAGAACGGATGACTTCATTCGCCGTTTAGCGGAAATTGTAATGCTCAATATCATCTTGGAATTTGTAAACATTTGTACTTGTCAGATGAGCAAGCCAATCTATATAATTCGTAAACAGCACCACGGTTGTATGTACTAATTGCCTGTAACCTCAGACTGCAACTCCTTCAAGCGGTCCCAGCCTTCCGTTCCATCCCAGAATTCCTTGCCCTTGCCCATGATTCCTCTCACGGCACTGCGAGACTTAAACCGCCAGTCCTTCGCAACAAGCTCGGCCTCTTGGTCACCCTCAACCTTCTGATCTTCACGGTCCATAGGACCAAACTTAGCATACCCATCCCTCACGAGCTTCTCCGTAGCCCGCACAACCTCAAGCCAGGGCTTCTCATCACCCATCTGGAAAGCACCCTGAGCATTAGCAGCAATAGTAGCGCGCCATGCTTTCTCATGGGCCTCGAACGCCTTAGACGGCCTGCCACGGAAGACTTCAACGCGAGCAACAATCTGCCACAATACCGAAGAGTGCGTGATAAGCGGAATGACATGCTGGTCGACCAGCGAGATGATCTGGCCGGCAACAGTACCGGTGCGAACAATCGGGGCTTCGGATGGATCGTCAGAGCGAATAAGCAACTCCTCGTACTCGAACGCCACGTTCAGGAAGTCAACGAGCATGGCGAGGATCCCCACATCAATGCATTTCTCACCGTCCTTCGTGCCGACGAGCTCAATAATGCGCTTCTGGGCGGTTATCACATCGCGGAATGGTGTTGCCGGCGGCGGGATGGACGCCGCGACTGTCAGGACGTTGTCCCAAATGCGGGCGTCAGTGCCCTTGAGTTGTGCTGCGCGTTGCAGGGCCGATAGTGCCTCGCGCTTGCGCTTGTGCGGGTCGACTTCGGCGGCGGAGACCTCGCCGGTGGACTCATCAATGACCTCTGCGGCGGGCTCTGGGTCGGGCATGCGCAGCATCGCGGCGGCAAGGTTACTCCAGGCCTGGCCGTCGGTATCGTCGAGTTGGACGGTGCGGGTGAAGGTGTCAGTTGCTTCTTCCCATTTCTGGAGCTCGAGCTGCACGCAGCCGAGAGCGAACCATGCGCCCTGGTTCAGGCGGTTGATGTGCAAGCTCTTCTTGTAGGCTATCTCGGCCTGTTCTAATTGTGGTGGTGTTGATGTGAGGTAGTGGCGGGCCAGGGACCGCTGGGCGCGGGCATATCGTTCCCCGGAGACTTCCCAGGCACGCTCGTACATCTTTTCGTCCTTGTCGATATCTCCCAAGATACAGAACAGGCGTGGAGCATCTGCTGGTAGTGGTGACCGCTCTGGTCCGTCGAATTTCTCATTTTCATCATTTTCATCTGCGCCGGTGGCTTGGTAAAGTTGGCGGCGGATGATGTTCTTCGCCTTGCCTTCGCGCTCGGTAGCGGCGTAGCAAAGCGCGGCCTCAGCCCACATGTGCAGTCTCTCATAGATCTCGAGCGCGGTGCGCAGACCACCGAGATCAACCCAGCGCTTGGCAAGCTCGGCCTCGAGGCTCCAACGTGTTGAGAAGTCTAGGATCCAGATGTGCTCGAGTCGGTCAGCGGCCGGGGCGGACTCAGACTGCTCAGGGCGTGGCAGGAAAGTCGTAGGGTCGCCCGACTCATTTTGAGCGGCGTCGTCGCTAGTTGCGGTGTCCGCAATGACCTGATCCACCAAAGCCTGCATCTGCAGCACGGCTCTCTCAACAGTACGCGAACGGTAGCCCTCTACTCGACTGCGGACTAGAAGTGCTTGGGTATAGATCTGCCAGTTGGAGCTGCCGCCATCGAGCACTCGAGTGGCATAGGGGTTTGTTTCCTCGCGGGTGAGGCCGTTCTCAGGCGAAGTGTTAGTAATGGCAGATGCCAATGCGAGTAGGAGAGCAGAGTCAACGGGATTGAGAATGGGCTGATTGTTCGCATCAATAGCACTCAAAGCTGCAGACACCTTATCTTGAATTGCCAAAGACTGCTCGTCGGGCTTTTGGTCGGAGAAAGAGATGGCCTCGAGAAGGGTATCGTCGTCCAAGTTTAGGTTCTTAGGCCCAGAAGGCTCTGAAGGTTGTGATGTCTCATCCGTACTCTTAGCCAAAACGACTAGCTGACTGATATCACGGTCTTGGAATTTTGTCCGCTTGCCCATCTTTCCGGTCAGCGCAAACTCGAACCTCCGCACCTTGGCCGCCTGATCAATATCTTCCCGTGCCTTGACATCGAATCCGTGGTGTGTGTGAATAATGGCCCTTTCCAGCAGGAACCGACTCCTCTCGTCTGAGTTCAACTCAGCCTTATCCAGGATCTCAAGATCCTTGTAGATCGCATCCTGGAGAGTACTCGTGACTTCCGAAAGCATTTTTTGGTGAAGGAAGTTGGCGCGCATACGCGCGGTCTTTGTCACAAGCGGTCCATCACTGCTTGAATCTACCAGCAGAGCTTTGGCTACAGCGAACAACTCCGGGTTGGGCGTGAGTTTGTAGGCAGCTTCTCCATCCAGGGTTAGGTCACGGATGACCTTTGCCCGCACGGTTTTGAGGGTTGTGGGCTCAGTTCGCAGGATAGAGGGCAACACAGCTTCGGCCGAGCTGAATTCGAGGGGAGGGCCGGTGACATTGGACTGTAGGAAGCTGAACAAGGCTGCTAGTCCAATGTGCAGGATTTGCGACTGTGTTTGTTCCGTGGTTAAGTCATCGTTAGACTGGAGGGCGGCGCGGGCCTGATCGGCGACGAAGGTAGTATATGAGATCTCACCACTTGCAACCTGTGCAAGAGACTCGTCTGAGGAATCATGGCCCAGCACCTTGTGAGTGAGGGGCAGGTTGAGGATCGGGAGGATGTTGTCTGACGTCAACCGGATTGGATCAATGCGATCTTTGAAAGGCGATGTGGCATCAAAGATGCTGTCCAGATGGGACGGACATGCAGGGAATTCAGCCATGTCAAATCCCTCCAGTAACCCTTAATGATCTTGAAGTCGAGAATCTGCCCCGCGATCTTTTTCGATTTTTCTGGCTTATCGATAATGTGTGGATAACATAAGTGCGTGGTATTTAGGTGAAAATCAGGGTATCGTCAGGAACGGAGATTATTGCCACGTCCTGCTTACAGAGCATCTCTTCTATTATTAACCTAATCTCTCTCCGCTCTAGGGAACCAGAATCAGTCGTGAATATCCAATTTGTTGTAGTATGCTATATCAAGCCGACTCTTTCTCGGACTCACGAGACGCATGTGCGTGGTCCTTAAGCATACGATTCAAACCCTCTCGCTGCACACAACCCTCAAAGTGGAAACTCCTAGCCAACTCTTCCAGGTCCTTCTTACTGCTTCCTCGGAATAATTCAGCGAACTCATCCACAAACGACGCCGCCAAGAAAGTGTAAAACACGTTCCGCATGACATGCAACTCCGTATTCCACGACGTGGGATAAGTATTCTTCGCCGTTGGACTAACACGGTCAATCCACTCGAGCAAAGGCTTCAAAGCTTCCTCAGGTTCAGACTTAGGCCGACGGCCCCATTTATCCAGCCAGAAGTCCCTCTTCTTGTCCAGAAAAGGCTCGAGCGTCTTGTTCCACTTGCTCTCGGGATTCGTATAGATCATACCCTGCAGACCAATGTCCTTGTAGAGCCAGATCGACCAGCTGATGTTATACTTGTCGTAGATACGCAGCTGATCGCCAAGGAGGTTGTACCGCTCTTGGTTGACAGTCTCGGCATCAACGTCGAATACCTGGTCCGCGTAGACGGGCCCGAACTCCCCGTTCCAGACAGGGGTTTTGTTCTCGCTCATGAAGTGCGCTTTGCGCAGGTACCCGCGTTCAAGCCGCTCCTTTTGCTCGGCTGTGCCTTTGTAGCGATCGCCGGTGGGGAAACCCATTGACTAAAGATTAGATCGGATTAGAGCACTACACTCCGTGTCTTCACAGGCTCGGAAAGGAATGCGAAGCTCACCGAGTAATCATGCATAGCATACACGCAGTTAGGTAACACGTCGTCAAACCCCTTCCACTCCATCGCGAACGTGTTCCCATCCAGCCATAGGATATGGTTCGGGTCAATCTTGCGAATCGCCTTCTCAACACGAGCATAGAAGGCGGGGAGCCGAACATGCTCAGGATCGCAAGGTTCGTTGAGAGGGTTGTACCCAGCAACCCAAGGATTATCCCTGTACCTGTTGGCTATCTGCTCCCAGAGCCAAATAGTCCGGTCTTGGTGGTCCTTGTAATCCCAGAAAGCGGCATAGCTAGTAGGATTGTCGGAGTGCCAGTCTGGATTCTGACCACCGGGAACGGCATGCATGTCTAGGATGGTGTAGATCCCGTGTGCTGCGCACTATATGGCATTGTGATTAGTCCATCCCTGGTATCGCCAACTCCGTGTAGAGATATTCAAAATACTGACTAGGTTGACGACTCGGTCCAGGTGTTTGAAGCCAGATTCCTTCAGCACGCGGGGATTCATATCGTCCTCGAAGTGCCGGTAGTTGAAAGGCAGACGCAGACAGTTCAGTCCTAGGTCGGCGAAGAACTTAGCGTCCGCCTCAGTGAAGAAATACTCGAGCCACTTGTCAAAGAAGAATTCGTATTTCTCTTGTCCTAGGACTCGGCGCATGGCGGCGCGGTGCTGGGCTTCGTGGCCTGCGAAGCCTGTGATGAAATTTTCCATACTTCAAGACGATATGTCAGTTCAGAGAGAGGGAAATAATACAACTTGGTCGTCTGCATACTTCATCCATCCTCCAAGAGCAGCTCCTCGCATCACAATCCCTTCTCCATTCCCGTCGACGATAGTATCGCCCTGCACGCGCAGGAAGGTGTTGGCCATATTGTTGATTCAGTAATGTGACAGCAATTGCTGAAAGCTATAATGATGCCTACGAGGGTGAGCTACCCATGGCTATAAGTACTTCTCCGCAGCAGGCTATTTATCCGAAAGTCCAGCAAAGCAAAACGCGGGGGGATGGGCTAAATGTCTCGGCAACTAGTACGGGGCTTGAAGCCACCAAGCCCAGTAGGCAACTCGGCTAATATCACAACATTTAGCCTAACGTGTACACAGCCAAGACATCTAATCAAGTGTACAAGAATTGCATTTCTCATAAATAACAAGACATGTGCCAACGGGCATGGAGCATGCCACCAGGGTATTATTTGAATACAAGTGAAGCAACGCCGTCCAAATAAGCCGCCCAAACGCTCAGAGAATAATGCAACGTCAGACTGAACTACCAGTCCTGCCCGCGATCCCGCATCAGAATCTCAATGGCTTCATCCTCGGGGACGGGATTGTCATTCAGTTCCTTGACGCATTGCGTGAGCCCCTCCGCGGCCTCATCTACTTGCTCTGCCGTCCAGCCCGTGCATGCCATCACCATGCGTCGGTAGTTCTGGCCAAGAACTGCGTTCTTTGCTTTCAGGCTATCGACTTCAGCTAGTATCCCACCGTTGAATTCTTTGTAGCAGTGTGCCTGGCGCCTAAGTAGATCTGTTGCTGGCAGTGAAGCCAGGAAGCCGACTTGCTGTTCTGAGAACCCGGACGCTGGGTCGAAACCCTCGGGGAACAGGGCATCGAATGTCGCCACATCAACACCGGAATCTCTGTCGGCATCACCCACAACAACCGTCCTGGTCGCGTCCAATCCTGGCGTGTTCTGCACTGTGACGAACAGACCCTCAGATGACCGCTCCAGATTCTTGATGCGCCGGTCTAGCTCCACGCGCTCAGAAGTCTTGCGTCTGAGTTCATCATATTGCTTCTGTTCGATCTGCCGAGCTTTGGCAGACTCGCGGATCTTCGTATGCCAGTGATCGAAACTCTCTTGTTTTTGTGTCAAGCTCGAAGCCAACTCTCGGTCAATTCCTCCAAGTGTTTCCTCAACCATGGCGCTGATTTGGGACATTGCCGCTAGATTTCATGTTAGCAAAAATGAACATATCGACGGGAAGAGGCACTTGCCATCAAGGATCTCTTTCTTCGACTTCGCCAATTGATCAATAAATGTGTCGTTCCGATTGGCCGGTTGTTGAGATTGCGAGTTTCCGTCGACCATGTCGACACCCACACCGTAATCTGCAGGGCGGAGGCCAGTATGGTTTGGAATGTGAGGATCCGCACCCACTTCTAGGAGTTGCGGGACAAGGACTGAGCGTGCACGCCCTGCCAGATTAAGGGCCGTGTCGCCCTGATCGTCGCGAAGGTTGACAATCTCAGAGATGAATCGTCCCAAAGAGATGACTTCACCGCTGGAGTTCCCGTTTGGTGCATGGTCTCCATTCGCACTTGGGACTACACCGCCGTGACGTACAATAAACTCGAGAAGAGCTTCTAGATAGTGCTTTGCGGAGACGTGTCCGCCCCCACCAGTGGCAGCCATCATGGCGATATGGTGCAGGATGGTACGTCCGCTGTAATCGACCATGTCAATGGTAGGGGCTAACACCTGCAGCAAACGCGGGAAGCTTCGATAATCGAGGTTGTTCCGAGTGCCCACGGACTTTTGCAGGGCGGTTTCTCCGGCTCCGTTGACTCGCGATATACTGACACCCTTGGCTACTAGCGCATTAAGAAGTGACATGCGGGCAAGCATCGCAGCCCAGTGCAAGGCATTGTTTCGGTACTCATCAAGGGGAATTTCAAGATCATCACCGGTCAACTGCAACAAGGCCGGGTGATCCGTGAAATCTTTTGTTCGTTTATCGAGGAACAGTGTCATAATGAGCTTCATCTTTTGGAATCTCTCGGGGGTAGAAGCAGGCGCCAGGGACTCGACACCGCGTTTCGAGCCATCATCAATGGGAGGGGGAGGAAGATCCATGTCTTGATAAAAGGAGTCGTTAGGTTCTGTGGGTGTAGGTTCGTGCATGGATAGATTAGACGGTTCTCGGGTAAGACCGATAGGGTGGCCTTGGTGCGAAGCAGAACGCATTCGTTTGCGAGGTGGTTCCGCAAGATCCTCGTTGTCATCTTGCACCTGGTACCGATTTTGCAAGCTGCCAAACCCGCTGTCGGACATGCTGTACATGCTCTGCTGGCTGCTGAACGCAACCCCGGATTCCTGGCTGCTCATCTGCTGTGAGGGCTTGCGAGCCATGCTGGGCCGACGACTGTTAGAGCTGGGCGAGTCAAAGCGCGCTTTGCTGAGGGCATTAACAGCGGTGGCGGCTGTTCGCGAGATATTTTGGAAGAAAGTTCCCTGCTGTGGTTGCGAAGCGCTGCGATTCTCCCCGCCGTTGTAAAGGCGCTTGCGCTGCGCGGCCATTGCTTGTTCTTTGGTGGGTGTATCTATCGTTGAGCCTTGAGCAGGAGCTCCGGAACCGTCAGGGCTCATATCGTACTCCAGCAATGGCCGGAGTGCTTCTTCAACGTGATACTCTCTGCAGAGTTCGACGCCTCGTTGGTAGTTGACCCACGTCCCCTGGTATTTTCCGTAACCGCCTTGTACCTTTTCGTGTTCACCAGCCGCAATTTCTTTCTCGAGGGTTTTCGTTCGTCTCGCTTTCACAACACCAGCGACTTTCAAAATTTGCGTGGCATTCAACCAAGAATCGGATCGACGTTTCATTACAGCAACACCATTCACTTCCATCTCATAGACGGCGACATTAGAATAGACAGCCTATTTTGAGCCTCGTCAGTGGCATACTCTGCGGATATGGATAAAGACCACGAACTCGGTAAATCTGTGGTTTGTACTCGTCCTGATATGACATTACCGACCCATGGTCGTTGGCTCCATCGTATCCACCAAAGCTACTTCGTGGGAGTCCGTTGGGGTAACCGAAAGAGGACATCTGAGATCCTTTCGGGGGCGGAGGAGTTGCGCGAGGGGTGGAGGAGAGGGATTGCGAAGCATTCAACATGTTGTAGGCCATTCCATTCGACCCTGTACTGCCCTGTGAGTATGACATGCTGGACTTTCTAGGAAATGTCAGCCTACAAATCGGGTAATGATGGGGTAGAGTACATAGCAAGGGGAGAGATACCGGACGCCAATTGGAATGACGCGAGCTCAAGGAGGCGCGTGGCTAACCCTCTGGAGGGAAACCGTAGGCCAAGCCAAATAGCATTCAAAGCTACAAAGCGACTGAGCGGGGTGTCAAGTAGAAATTGAGATTTTAAGATCCGACCCTCAATGCAAGGCAAGGCAATGTCCGCGGGGTTTAGGAGAGACTGCGAAAATGGCGCGTCGGAGTTCCCGTGACACGCATTTCGCCAAGGATTTCGCGTTTCTCCGCTTTGGGGTTTCTTTTTTTCCCTCTTCCCGAATTCAATAACAAGATATTCCTAATGGCCAGACCACAACCTCAGCATTGGGTTCACAATCTCTCAACACCACAACAATGGCGCCATTTATTTCGTGCTACGCTGCGCGAATGTACCTACCTACCTGACCCTATCGCACGCAACTACATGAAAAGCCATATCATCTCCCGATATCGAACTGTTTCCTCCCGTTCCCCGAAGGCTGGTCCTCGAGTGGTTCACGCGGCAAGAAATGCATTGTCGGTTCTGCGGCGAGCAAATGAAGGCTATTCACGTCCTCTGGAGAAGGTGTTATTACTGTCGTACGGCCGCACTGGGAGACGGCGACATGAGCTGCTGGCAAAGATGTTAACGCCGCAAATCCCCAATGACTCTATGGCTCTCAAAGAACTACTCTCCAGACCTGCTGATTTCAGTGATGGCTGGGAACCACCAGCTATCGTGAAGAACCTCGCGGCCTCTCAAATGCAGAACACAGTGGTTACAGCAGTCCGCATCAGGCCTTTGATCAAACAATTGGAACCCCCGATTCCCAAGCAGGACGGCTGGGGCAAAGAAGTGTCCCAGTGTCGGAAGAAAAATATTCGGAGACAGTGGTACAACAATACATTGAGCAGTCTCCTTCCACCGTTACCAGAGAAGGATCTTCAGACGCTTGAGGGACTCATATCCGGGACTGTGCCATGGGAACCTATCAAAAGGAGGAGTTCAAAACCCCGGATTTCCCAGACTGAGTCTGGTGGCGAACTCTTCAGGTTGCTGGCTAGGGGCCCTGAGAAGGGTACCACCTTTGCTGAATATGCCAGTGGACGGCCACATACAATTACAGTGAGGCTTATGCGTCGTCAATGGAGACGTCTGTCTGCTCTTGTGCCACGACAATACTGGAATCCGATATCACAAAAGTGGCGCTTTTTGTGGGATCCGCCAAAGGAACTCCCCCGGCTGTCCTTCGATCTCAACAGTGGCATCGACCCAGACGCTTTTTTCCAAAATTCAATTCAGGCGAAGGGAGACAAGAATGAGGCGCATCAACCCTCTCAATAACAAATATTAACCAATGTAATACTACACGATTTGGAATCCACTCATGGCCCTGGTCATTCCCATGTTCAAGTGCACTGTGGACTGAGATGAGGGTCTATCTATCGGGCAGAAATGCAGGCTAACAAGCACTCCAGGATATCTCACCAACTAAGGCATAATTCCATGATTCAATAATTCAACTTTGTTGATGAGCTGGCATCTCGTTAAGAATACAAACGCATACGATACACGTAAAACGTAAAGGTTCTCGAGTCCCCCAATACGACAAGCCCGGACGAACTGATGCGACTGGAATAGAAAGGTAGCAGAGAAAAGGACAGGGTATACAAATTGTGAAGGACAAAGCAAGTCAGCGTAAGGGATCACACCAAAAAAGGCGAGACCAATCAGTCGCTGTCAGACGAGCTGGAGCTGGAGCTAGAGCTCGAGCTCCTTTTCTTGTGCTTCTTGTCCTTCTTATACTTCTTGTCTTTCTTGTGCTTCTTGTGTTCCTTCCCACTATATCAGGGTATTAACAGTCAGTCTCCTCTCAATCCAAAAGACTAAAATGGGGACAGCGCAAAGGGCAAGACTCACAGCTTATTAGTTGCCATGTTCATACCAACAGCACCCAAAACAGCACCGCCCGCGGTACCAAGCATGCCGTGGCCAAGCTTATTTCCCATGAACCCACCAGCCGCGCCGCCAAGCAGAGTCGACCCGAGGCCCCTCTCGCCCTCGGGTCCTACAGCACCAGGCTGTCCTTGCTGGTGTGGGGGTGCGCCGCCATAGTACGAGGAGCTCTCGCCGCCACTTTGCGGGTACTGCTGTTGCTGGGGAGGGTAGGGCGAGTGGCCGCGATCCAGAGGAGGCTGTCCGTATCCAGGACCGCCTTGCGGAGGGTACGGACCCTGCTGGTGCTGTGGGGTGTATCCTGGGTAACCCTGGCCGCCTTGTTGATCATAAGGTCCTGGGTGTTGGCCGTATTGGGGCTGACCGTATGCTTGCTGGCCCTGCAGCGTGGAAAGTTAGTTGTGTATCCCCGCGGTACGAGTACGAGCGGAGAGTGAGAGTTTGAGCCGTGTGCGACTTCTGTTCCGTGCAACGGTATGTCATGTGCTTGGTGTATAAACTCACCTCTGGTGGATAATAGCCTTGCTGTGGTTGAGGGGGATAGCCCTGCTGAGGGGGGAAGTGCCCTTGGCCTTGCTGGTCATAGTAACCGGCACCACCGCCGTATTGATTCTGCGGGGGTCCACCGTACGACATGTTGATATCGGAGAATAAGAGTTAGTTCTTGGGTAAGTGGTAGGTAGGATGGTAGTCGATAGCTAGGATGGGCTGGATAGGAAAGTGAGATCTGGGGATGACCTGATGATAAATACACGGCATCAGCGGGGCTCGCGGGGCTGAGCGGGAAATTGAGCACCTCTCAGGGGTTCTGAGATTGACACAGCCTCCTTCCCGTGTTAAATTGTGGCTTAACCTTTCTTCGGTTGAATTGGATAACCAATGAGTACGGAGTATGTCTCTTTATGTTGGATTGTGGGCCTCGAGAGCGTTTGGCATTCGGCATAAGGGTCAAAGCCAAGACTGTCGCCCCGCAGTTGACAGGCTTCTCTGCATGGAACCAAAAAGCATTCTTGATTTGGTAGGTATTTATAGATTAGAGAGACTTGAGTGGCAATAATCAGGTAGTATATCAAGTTCCTTATTCGTTATGGTCCCTCCAATAACAATTTCCTTGCTAATCAAAGGTCCACTACATTGATTTAATGGCTATGTACTTTGTGTTCGGTATTATCAACTTGACATTGAAACTATAATGAGTCGACTTATTCTCCAAACACTCATACCTGTCAAGTACAATGAAGCCGATAGTGAGTCCGAAGGGATTTCGGCTACTAGAACCACCCTATAACTCTACCTGGTAACGCTCGTCCTCGTCCGGGGTTATGTCGCCGACCAGGGCCTCTGGCATCAAGCCGCGCCAGGCATTTTAAATGGTACACCAAGCGATGCCTCAGGCAGCCTAGACGCAGAGCGTAGCTGTGCCTACGCGAGCATGGCCATGAAGCACTACTACGACAAGGCTCAAGAGAGAAAATGGCTCAAAGTTGGCGACTATATTCATCCACGACTAGGACACGGATACGGGTGCATGCGTATACCAATGCTCGATGGCTGGGAGCGCCGGATCAAGAGGAAGCGAGCCTACCCGGAGACCCGTCTCCACTGTTCGGAGCACTTCACTAGCAATAACAAGCTGCACGCCCATCTCCAACACTGTACTCCTACCGCCGCCGCCGCGGTAACTTTTAATGCGGTAGCTAATTTTGTAGCTAATTCTGCAGACGCTGGTCTGCCTCCGATAGAGCCAGCGCGACAGCATGATGACCATGAGCCTGGCTACGCCTTGCGCTCTTGGCGATATGCCACTGCGATTGTCGCCCTGGTGGAGCGTGACAAGCTGTCCGTGCGTTGCCTCGCTTCAGGCTGTGTTATAACTCTGATCGACTCCAAGCTTGCTGATAGACTTGCCATACTGAGCTGCACCAAGACACCTACGGCCCCGATCCCGGTGAGCGGCATCGGCTTTAAGCACATGTCCTCCTTCTAGGTTCCGTTGGACGGCTTTTTCACAGGCCACGGCCAAACTGCACTTCGAGGCGCACCTAGTGTAGTGGGCAATCTTAAGGCCGGCCTCTTGATCGGTATGGACGTCATGGGCCCCGAGGCTTTCGTCCTCGACTTCACTAACGCCCGGGGTATTATCGATGCCTGCGACCGTTTCACTTGCCCTATCACGCTACATGCGAAGCATAATCACATCGCCCGTCGCCCGGTCTATGCAGACCACAAGGTCACCATTCCACCGCAGCAAGCCGTCAACTTACGGGTCGGATTGAAGTGGACACTACCGCGGCGTAGGGATTTCACTTTCAACCCGACCGTCGCGACGACACGGTAGGCGCACAAGACAGGGGACTCGTCAGCGCTCATCGTTCGAGCAGCTGGAGGACGACTAGAGAATTTGAAGGATCGACTTTCCGGCCCCAACCTGCCGTTTTCCCAGTTCATATGTCTGCAAGACTAGAACAAAAGAGCTGTTCGGTAGATTTGAAGAGCAAACCCTCTTTCCTGGTATGCGAGTGACCATTTCATATCTTCGGCGCGAAGTACTGTTCAAAGTGATGCCAGGTCATCGGCATGATGCCATTATTGGCATTTTTCATAGACCGCGATCAGCTCGCCTCAATGGGCCTTTTCGACAACTCTGGGACAGTCACAACCTGCACGTCAGCAAAGACCGAGAGGATAACTTTTTGGGCAAGGAGCTTGACTGGTGGCTGTCCCCAAGGGATGTCTGGGAGCGAGGCGGGGGAGAGTTTCCTTACCATAATCCTTGAATACGGTGTCCCGGAATCTTATCCCAGCTATGTGAGGATACCCAGTGGTGGCACAGCAACTCGGTTCTAGACCATACCCGCAGTGACCATATCAAGCTCGTCGTTATCATCACTACTACTCGCCATGCGGGACCAGAGGTATCAACCGATGAACATCCGCCAAGGAGGCAAAAGCCGCGGTCAAAAAAGGATGTAGTAAAAGAAATGACCAACGGAACCTTATCTTGGATCTCTGTTACCTCATAATAAAATTAAGATCGACAACCCCTAAGCCATATATCAACGACTTGCCCATTTGGCCACGTGCTCCGTAGAAGTGGCGAGCCATGGATACATAATATCCGAGGGGAAAAAGGACACCAATAGCAAAGTAAAGAAGTATTCAGTACGGAGTACATGCAGGGTACCCAAGCATCCGGGTCCGTGGGATAAGAAGCTTTCTTGCCAACAGCATGGCATTTATTGGCACTGCAGCCAAGAGGCTCTATTTCGGCTCTTATCGTAGGTTTAGAGGGGAAGACCAAATGAAATACATGATAACTGAACCGAACTCTATACTCCGGATCCCCACATATTTCGGAGAAGCCGAACATGTCACCTGTCCCCTCATTCTAATGCTTGGCGGCTCTCCTGGGCAAAGTCTTACTTCAGAGAAGCCCTGCCAAGCAAATACGGGCCGGATCATTCAGAGGTTAACGAGTCTGCATATCATGAGCGACGGATTATAGAAATGATTCTATTAAGGTGAAAAGTCCAAACTCTAGTTCACTTCGTTAAGTGCAAAGCCTATAAACTAAACCCGAGGCTGACCGGCCTATCACGGGTGAGTTGGCTTTCAAGGAAGTCTAAAGAGAAAGACGGCTATTGTGCGCTTCTCCAGCCTATTTTTCGCTTCCATTTTAGACTCGACGACCCCGCGTTCTGCCCAGGCAGAAAAGAGCAAATATATATATGCATATGTCTTCAGGTTAAGAATGAAATCAGAAGTGAGCCTACTTCTGTACCTACATATGTATGTATTTGGGGCTGTTGGATGCAGTAAATCCGCTGAATCCAAAAGCACGTACCGAAAGAGAGTACAAAGTTCCATGGAAAGTCTAATGAAAACCAATCTAGAAGGTCGTAAAACCAAAAAGACAAGGAATCCATAGAATAATTCACGGAAAAAAGACTGTGGGCTTGGTGCCTTACATCAACCTGCGTTCAATGTTTACCACAGAACCAACCGTGGCATTCCGGAGTTTGAAAGTTTTCTAACTGTTCCCCACGGGGGACTCGTGTTTTCTGGGGCTACCCCATAAGTGTACTATGATCGGCGACTGAGCTTAGATGGCCCTCATTCGTGCCCATCCCCGATTCCAGATTGCTGACCCCGCGTGGCAAGCGAATAGGATCATGTCTTATCCCTGCGTCAGCGGGACCACATACGTTTGTGGTCATTCGTTTGATTCCTTTTCAGTCCTCGGGATGCCCGTTAGATTCGGTTAGCCATAGAGGGGGCAGGAGGCAGGGTTCCTGCGCGGTATTTAGAGCTGCTCTGGGCCCCCTGTTTTGACTTGTGATCTATCTTATTTCTCTTCCTTCGGACTTTGCAACAGGATCCGGCTTTTACTCTCCGATTCCCCGGGTGCTCCAAGATTCTCATCAGTTATGGATGAGGCAAAGCCTCAGTATGCGGCCACACCTTCGCCGGATGTCGAGGAGCATATGAGTGTCGGCCGCTATATCTCCACTCGTTTTTCCTCTCTGGTGCCTCCGATGAACCCTGCGCCGAACCCCTTCAAGGCTCTGACACTACTCAACCGGACCCAGTGGCTTAATTTCACGGTATGTCGATCTTCCCGTAGGGCTGACGGGCAAGAAAAAGAAAGACTCAGCTAACCCAACCGTACAGGTCGCATTTCTGGGTTGGTCTTGGGATGCGTTCGATTTCTTCACCGTCTCACTTACTACCTCTGAGCTTGCTGAATCATTCGATAAATCCGTGACCGATATCACATGGGGAATCACCCTGGTACTGATGCTGCGATCCGTCGGCGCGATCACATTCGGAATTGCCTCGGATCGATGGGGTCGCAAATGGCCATTCATCGTCAACCAGCTGCTCTTCGTGGTTCTCGAGCTTGGGGCCGGTTTCTGCCAAACATATAAACAGTTCCTGGCCTGTCGCGCCTTGTTTGGAATTGCCATGGGTGGTTTATACGGTAACGCGGCAGCTACCGCACTAGAGGATTGTCCGCCTGAAGCCCGCGGTATCATTTCAGGACTCTTGCAGCAAGGCTACGCTTTTGGATATCTATTAGCCACGGCTTTCGCCCGAGCTCTTGTCAATACTACCCCGCATGGCTGGCGACCGCTGTACTGGTTTGCGGCTGGCCCACCAGTCTTGATCATTATCTTCCGGCTGTTTCTAGGTGAGACCGAGACTTTCCGTCGTCGCCAGGAAGCGCGGCAGGAAGTGCGCGGAGGCGTTGCGGCATCGTTCATGTCGGAAGGGAAGGTTGCACTCCAGCGACATTGGATGATCCTTATATACCTGGTTCTGCTGATGGCTGGGTTTAATTTCATGGTATGTGCATTACTTGCTATTTGAGTAATAGCAGAAGCTAACATGGAAGACTAGTCGCACGGATCTCAAGATTTGTATCCGACAATGCTCCAGAACCAGTTCAAATTCTCGAAGAACGCAGTCACCGTCACACAAGTCGTCGCCAACCTGGGTGCTTTGTCAGGTGGTGTATTATGCGGCTGGGCGAGTCAGATCTTCGGCCGTCGGTTCTCTATCATCGTCATCTCTATCGTCGGCGGCGCTCTGCTCTACCCCTACACATTTGTCGAGAACAAGAATGTCATCGCCGC